TGCTCACTTTCGTTAAGAACATACACACTTCCTCTGACGTAGCCGAAAGCTATTATATTATCATTTTCACAATATGGCATTCTGCATCTTTAAAGTTCACTTCATATCCATTATCAGTCAGTTTCTTTTCGGATAATAAATTTCCAGATAGCTATGGAACAAAAAGCACATCTTTGATCGTAATCTGTATTTCCTCATTTTGATTATTCTGATATTTTACCAAGCAATTACCTTTTCCCTGACTAAGCGCTGTATATCCGTTAGCTAATGTTATTCGCTCAGGAACAGAGTTTTATCATTGCACATATGAATGGTGGCTCCAGAATCGATACACCAGTAACCATGTAAATCATTCGCACTTGTAATGGTTCGCACAATGGTGATTAGAAACTTGTTTCGCTTTATTAATGTCACTTGAATTCAAAGTTGCCTTGACTTGTTGCTTTTTATTATGCTTAAGCTTCCATTTCGCATATTTCCTGCAGTCAGCCTTTAAATGCCCTAACTTCTTACAAAAGAAACAATTAGGTACTTTATTTTTATCAGCTGGAATGTTACGCATTAAAGAAGAATATGACTTCAAAGTTTTGGTCTCTCTTCTTGTACCAGGCTCCTTACTTTCGTTTTGACGAGTATACTCTTCCAACAATTTATTTTTAACTAATTCAACATTTAAATCTGCTTCTGGTCGTGTTTCTAAAGCTGTAGTTAATGTAGCATTATTTTCAGGTAAGCTACTTAAAATAAATGCAACGAATAAAGGTTCTGAAATTTGCTCACCTAGCTCTACTAGTTGATCCACAATAGGTTCTATTTTCATTAGATGCTCGCTCATTTGTTCTTTATTGCTGTACTGCAAGTTACACAGCTTTTTCAAAAGCCCAACCTTTCGGGACAGTGCTGACTTTTCATGGTACTGTTTGAGAATATTCCATGCCTCTTTCGCAGTCGTACAATTTCTTATATGTCCTAATTGGTTATCTTCCAATAAAAGTCCTATAGTTGCTCTAGCTTTTCCGTCTTTCGAAATCCACTTTTCAGTTACTGGAGATGGAGGTTCTGTAATAATAACATCCCATAAATCCTTTTTAATCAGCAAGAGTTCCAGTTTAAATTCGTAGGTATAGTAATTTCGGTCATTCAGCTTTTTCGATGCAGACGCGGTTTAAAACCATAGCCGCCATTACGTAGCTGTTAACGATGAAAGAAGAAAACGGAAGTAATCACTGTTCATCAATATTAATCCAAAATACTGATTCAAAATATTACTATACGCCTTTATGAAAGACTTCTCCTAATTTGCTTGGCCCATAACCTATTATATATATCATAAATTGAATTATAACTTCATCACAAGGATAACAGCGTTTATTAGGAGAATGAAAAAGTAAGCAATCACAATACAGCAGCGATCAACATTACTACAATTCTATAACTGAAGTTCAGAGCTTAAAGTTGGCAGATAGCCCAAAACATAGATTACGTCATTTAACGCTCTGAAAGGCGAGCAGAAGCTAATAAAGAAAAGGAAATCACATTAATCATTGCATCTCCTGACATTCGGAGGTATAAAATATACAACAAAAATTTCCCAAGTGTTTTGAATCACCCTGTATATGCAGGTAGCTATGAAGCATTTCCTAAAGTGTACCGTCAGGAATTACCAATGTTTAATTTAGGTTGCCATTTTTTTCTACATTAATGGAAACACGATGATTATTACCTTCTTAAAGCCAGGGAATAACCAAAGGTTACTGGTACATCTAATAGCCACGTCAGTTTGCTTGTTTGTATAGGAAAAATGGGTGAAAAAATTCTCGTCAGACACTGACTGAATTCTTGTAAGGTTGAAACTGGTAAATACTGCACAATTTGGCTTCTAGAGATTACCTCCCCCTCAGTATCCCCAAATATCCTTAATATTTCAGAAGCATTTGCGCTTGCACACACACACACATCAGAATATGCACCGAGAATATCCCCTTACATCGTCCTACTAAAGTAAAGTCTGCGTCATGACTGTCAAGTATGGTAATCGCAAAGGTAAATTGTTTTTGAATAGTTTTCTCACAGTGCCACTTTGCCTTCCTGAACTTTTTTTTCTTTTGTATGTGGTTTTGTGAATTTTTTCGTTCCATTTTTAAGAAGCATTATGTTTTAAAAACTAAACTATCATTTTTTCACTGGAATTTATGCTAAGTTTTCAATTGCTGAAAATTATAATTTGTTAATAATTTCGAAATTTGAATTTCGAATACGTCAGGCATGTTCATTAACTTTAATTACGTTCATTTATATGTCATTAAAATATTTTAAATATTCAAAACTGTCTTTCATTGTTCAGAAAGGAGGAGGGGGACCTTTTGTGGGAGAAGAATTAACTTATTCGCTTAACGAGATCTGATTAGGTACTGCAGAATTTACCTGTACGATTATAGGATGAGAATATTCTTGCTGAGGAGTTTACAGATCTAATGTGGAGTTTTGAATATTTAAACCGTCATTTAATGATTGTCATGGAACTACTAAAAATTATTGTTAATTCACGATTATTGTTAATTCGAAGAATGATTTTAATTCCGTTTTAAACGTTATATGTACTATAAAATGTTAACAGTTTCGTTTATTTTTACTGATTATCCAGTTTATTTTTGAAGCGCACTTTCTGCGAAAATGTTACTTTAAGAAAGTTAATGCAGAATAATTTTCATTTTGTTATAGATGCTTCAGGACATTTCAATGAAAACTTTTGTTCAGTCGGAATTAGACTTTCAATGCATTGTTTTCAAAATAAATCTTAAAATGCAGCATTAGATATCTTAAATTGTGGAAATTTTAATGTACATGTTCACTGACATGAAAAGAATACATTATCTTAAATTAAGAGAACTGAATTATTATAATAAAGCCTGAAATGTTATGCAAAATTTTATGTAAAAATGATTCAGTATATTTTTGTATTTCTTACTGTTATTCAAAATTTGAAATTAATGATAGCTTAAAATATATAAAGGTAAAGGAGAATGGTATCATGCTATTTCACAAAATTTTTATTTTGAATTATGAAATAATAATATAAGACAGAGTATATATGTTGGTGTTGTACTACTATGTGTGTGTAAATATTATGTACGGTTCTGTGAAAAGTACCTCTCGAATACTAAAAGTAAAATATAAGCTTTTTAAATAATTATAAGGGATTGTAAGGATTATGTTAATTTTATTAACAGTTAAATTTTAAATTAAATTTCCTTCCCTGTCAAATTCTTAACTTCAACTTACTACTTCCGGCCAGAACGTAGTTTTGGAATCACTCTGAATACTTAATGAGGAGAAGCGGTATTTAAACTGCGAAGTTCTACTTGCTGAGTTAGAGAGATACCAGATATTCTGGCTCGCACGCGTCCGTTTTTTTTTAGGCTACTCTCTCGTAAGCTATTGTTGCGTTTTTTCTTTCTTCTGACATCAGTTGTTACGTTGATTTGCGCGTGTCGGCCTTTTAGCTACTCTCTCTCAAAGCTGCTATTACGCTCGGCCTTACTCAGGCCCTTGATAAGCTTCTTAATCAAATAGAGTTAAAGGGCCACCTCGATTAGAATCTTGATAGCTTCGGCTATATCTCTTTAGTTAATCTTAGTTTTAGTTTATTTCTTAGTTTTTTAAGTTCAAACCCGAGTGTCGGCTTTTATTGTACACTCCAAGACGGAGTTTTGTTAAAACCTATTGGAATAATAAAGGGTTAGTTACCCTTCCATCTTGTTGTTTCTTGTAACACGAACTTAAGCGATTATTCGCTAACTAGTTCTTAAGGTTACTCACTTTTGACTGCATTTACACAGTGGTAAACCTCACAGGGTAATTACAGTAAGCATAGAGATGTCCTTTTTTTATTATTGTATATATTCTTGAAAAATAATGTATCATTCTTGTGTTTTTCTTGATTTTCTGTAATGTAATTATTGCCATGGCAATTTACAATGCTTTAAATATAATGAAGGTAATATCATATACAATCAAAAGTCGTTAATCCGGACTCATCGGGACTTCGGCGATTCCGGATTATAGATCATCAGTTTAAATCTCGTAAGATGGCATGCAGAAATTATAAAATTAAAAATATGAAACCGTAATTTATGAAATAAAGAACAATTATGATCTAAAGGGTATCAAAATTTACAAAAAAAAGCTTAATACTTATTTGTTTACTTTATTAAACATTTCTTTCAATGTAGTGTTTTAAGTTGCTTCGTTTTATGTGATAATACTTTCTCTTTAATTCTATAAACAGACATAATTTCTTGTTCAGTTACAAATTCCGCTGTTCAAGTCCCGTTAATTGCTGTGCCGAGAATACCGACTAACTTGTCAATCGAAATTTTTTCGTTTTCACTAACCTCTCTGTCACATTCTTCATGTCCTTATCCATTTTTTTCAGCAATTCCACTTTTTGTTTGTTGGACATCGAAACATACTTTCGTTTTGTACGATCCTTTGGGAGCTCCAGAATCGGAAATTCTATTTGACATAATCGAAAGTTCAAGTTTACTTTTATAGTATTGCTCTTACAGTCTGCAAAAAATAATAAGCCGGATCAAATTCGAAAATTAAGGAACAACGCAATCATCAACATTAACTGAAATAGATAATTAGATAATTTTAGCTTATACCGTCCGTTAAACACAAAACGCGCACGCGAAAACGTATTCTGCGCTTGCGCACACGCATATGCGCAGACGTAAAAGGTTTTACGCGCACGCGTAAGCGCCTATGCGCATGTGTCAACACGGCGCATGCGCAGAATGTTTTTAGCTTTGAGGTCCGGATTATAGATCATTCCGGATTATGGGTGTCCGAATTAACGACTTTTGACTGTAGTAGCAATCAATCGCTTTTGACAAAGTTTTAGATTTTATTAGTGCCTGTTATTTTTAAGAAGGTAAGCTAAGATGTAAAAAAAATGTGCATTTTATTTCCTTACTAAACTTTTCCTTCTTTTTCAGCTTTGGTAACATGACTAGTAAATCTAGAAGAGCAACAGTTAAGAAAGAGGATTTGGCACGGGCAACATTAGTGACAATTACAAATAATATTGGGTCCATAGCACGTATGTGTGCTGTTAGTGAGGTATATGGTTTTTTATGCAGTAACTTTATGTTATTGAAAGAGAAAATGCATGCTTTTTTCCCTACCCACAAGGAATAATGAATGAAGTATTTCTCCTGTTGCAGGGTATAAACAAGGTTGTCTTTATAGGCAATTTCCTTCGAGTAAATATTTTGTCTATGAAACTTCTAGCATATGCTATGGACTTTTGGTCTTCTGGGTCTCTTAAGGCTTTATTTCTAGAGCATGAGGTAAGTTTAGTCTCTATAATTTTGAATGCAAAACAAATTTAGAATGATTAACATATTGTATGTGTTCTTAATTTGTATTGAATATATTTAATAGGGCTACTTTGGAGCTGTGGGTTGCTTAATGGAACTAATGAAGACTGGTAGTTAAATAAAATCTTCTTGTATGTATTAATTTAGTGTTGTTACTATATTAAAGTTTAAGAGATTTGTATCTTGAAAAAAAGAAAAAATATTGACTAGATACCTATTTTCATTTACCTCCATTTACACTGAGCAGCATTTTTTAAGATAATAGCGTATTTTTTGTAATATTTAACTTTTTTAAAAATACATTTCTTAAGAAACCTTTGTGAAACAATATATTTGAAGGAATGCTAGACTATATGATTACATCTGAACTCTTGCATATCATTGCACAAGAATATGTTGAGTAGAATGAAATCCTTAACCTCCTGTCAAAAGCTTATCTAAGCATGTATTCATATTGATTTCTGTAAAACATTTCACATTTCTGTGAATAATTAACAGACATTTTAATCCACCATATTTGAAACTTTCATTAATGAATACTAAATACTTGATTTTAAATGAATATTAATAATCAGTAATTAAAAGTATTAATAAGCAATACTCAAAACTATGATTATAATTTGCTTAGAAACTTTATTGTTCAAGTTGGTATTCATCAAAGGAGATCATTCAAGATCTTTTTGATCTTTATAAAAGATTGTATGTTTCTTTCCTGTCTTTATAATGAGAAACAGTTAATTTGAGTAGTGTTTTGACCAAATGTTACCTTTTCTTTGAGTCCAGTGATTAATTTACGCATCGTTTTAATATTCCTTTCATTCATAATGGAAGAAAGAAAATTTCCCGGTAATGTGCTGAAATCTTTGCTTGTTAGAAGTAGATATGTAATTGGCTTTTGTCTTTTTTTAGGTATATTTTTCTTAATGGAATGCCATTTTGAAGAATATTTAATCAAAATCTCAAAGAAACGCAGCAAAACCATTAGTGGCCTTAAAGCCACCAACTGCATATGTATCTTATTCATGTTGATTATGATGAAACCTTGTATGTAAGGTCTTTGTTGATAAATAAGCTATAAATATCTGAGGAGATGTTTTTGCAATCTCTTTCGTATTGTACATTCCATATTTGCAAAAAATCATTCATTGTAAAATTACATGAATAAAGATACTGTGAGTGTCATTCTTGCCCTTTTCCTTGTATGTCAGCTTTTATTGCTGCATGTACTATTGTTGAGAAAATCTTTTGTACTTTGTGATTCTAAAATTAATTTCAGTAAAATATTCTGGGATATACAATGGCATTTGAAAATTCTATATACACATTATAATTTTTGGATCAAAATTTTTATATTTGTGTTTATTTTCCGGTTTTTGTTATATTAAATATATTTGTGATACAGTACAAAGTCCGTAATCCGGACGTCCATTATCCGGAATGATCTATAATCCGGACCTCAAAGCCACAAACTTTTTTTGTATGCTTTACGCGTAAAGAATGCGCATACATTACTCGCCCTATACTTCCACATTTTTAACACCTTTGTTCTGTACTCTTATTAGGTATAGCGCGTGCTTTATTTTGTGTGTTAGTACTTGAATAACCCTTATTCTTCGTATCTCGAACGCGGATTTTCTCATAAATTTTTAATTTCTCTTTGAATCCAGAAATAGTTTTACACCCGTACAAAATAATTTTGTTACTGCTGTGATCCGGTATCCCATTAATTACATAATCAAGAATTGATTAATCATCAACAGAACCGCGACTGGCTGTTTCACGGATGGCAATTAAATATTCGGAAAGGGATTCGCCAGGTTTTAAGTGTCGTTTAAGTCCATGCATAGTCTAAATGAACCGCATTTTTTTCTACTTAGCACGATATTACTTGCGTAATCAGAACAGCTTGGCTTAATGATTTGTTTCTCTAACCATTCCGAAATCTGTTTATAAATTTCATGCTGCTCTGCGGGCGGGGGGGGGGAACGTCGCGGCGCGCAATGAACTGGAAGTTGATCTGTCAGCACTATCCTCATCTTCAGGACAGATGTTTTTATTTTATTTGGCTTATATTTCCTTACTAAATATAGTATTTCATCTCGATGTGCTCCGTCTTTGATATGATTTAAATCAATTTCCTCGTCATTTTAAATATCACGAATACACATCAAATAATTTTCTGGTCGCAATTTTCTTATTTCGACTATGCGTAATGTATGGCTTTTTTACGCATGCGCGCGTTGAGAAGAAATGTTTAATAAAGTAAACAAATAAATATTAAGCTTTTTTATGTAAAATTTGATACACTTTAGATCATAATTTTAGATTTGATACCCTTTAGATCATAATTTTAGATTGATACCCTTTAGATCATAATTCCTCTTTATTTCATAAATTATGGTTTCATATTTTTAATTGTATAATTTCTGCATGCCATTTTACCAGATTTAAACTGATGATCTATAATTCGAAAAAAACCCTAATCCGGAATCGCCGAAGTCCCGACGAGTCCGGATTACGGACTTTGTACTGTATTTGGTTTGATTTAATACATGGTAGAAATTTGAAAGGCTATAATGAAATGCATTCTTCTAAAATTCGAAGTAACTATTTCTATGAATTATTTTTGGCTATTCCTTAAAAACATTGTAAGTCCGAGATCCGGAATCGTCGGGCCTTCAGTGGTTCTGAATTTCGGAAAATTCCAGATTTTAGATCATCGTAAACATGGCAACATTAGGACTTTGCTTTGTTTAAATCAGTTAGAAAAATGCTACCCATGTCCACAGAGCAGGTGCAACTGGGGTGGCTGCAACCGTGAGTCAGAATTTAGGAATGGTACAAATTTTAGAATGTAGAAGAGCACATAACACCAAAAATTAGGGTCGCTGAATGTTTAGAATTTAAGAGAGGCATTGAGTAGAATTTAGGGTGGTAGAGCAGGAGAGCAAACTATAAGGACCACCAATGATTGTACGGGGCGGTAAATGGGTACCGGCCCTGCCCTCTCCGCTACAAGCAGTCAAGGACCTTCAGTATGGTCCTCGTCCACGTCAATAAATGCATTGTTATTGGCCGAAGTGGATTGCCTAGCCAGCAGGTGCTTAAAAGTGACATGCAGGAATCTCAGTTAGTCCGGAGAAAAGTCGCATTTATGCACAGCTTTTTCCTTTTGCTGCGTTTTTAGACTTTGTGAGGAGAAGATTTATTATTATTGGTATTTTAATCTTTTGGTCAGAGGTCCCAATATTAGATCTTTCGGGATACTCGACATCCGGATTTTCGGACTTTATAATGTATTAGTAGTTTTCTTGTGATTATACTTATCTTTACAACTCTATTGTATTGCAAAAATAAAGATTATAAATCGTTGCCAAGTGGCCACTTTGATTGTTGTGGTTGCTTATTAAGCCCAATTTTGAAGTTTATGAGAACACAGAGTTTTAACATCCCTCACTTCTGGTGCGTTTCATCTTTCTAATGAAATTTTTACTTGATTTATGATGGTGCAAATTTTTTTTTTAAACATGATTAAACTTATTCTGAGCTTTACCTTACTTGAAGTTTAACTACTTGACTATGATCTCCCACAAGCAAAACAAAACTAGATTTTAGAAAAAGAAGGAATGGAATTTTGGTTGCATATAACAGAATGTAAATGTGGTATAATTAATATCTGTTTACATCTTTACAGTTTTGTTATTAGGGGGTTTGCCGTGACTATAGAAATTATGTTTCATGTTAATGTTGTGTACTTTAAGATTTTTTTAAATATTAGGTTACCTTTTGGGATTGGATCTACTTATTTAATTATGGCAAAGCATATTAGAGCTATCTACCTAAGGGAAGGGGTGACTTCATAGGGGAGATGGGAACTTGACTATATTTTACATTGCATATGGTAAACCATGGAAGCTGTTCCCATGCAGCTTTTCGGAGTGGAATCCGGTCAAATAATACGATAGTGAACTAACATTATAGAGTGTTTCATATTGAATGGGACAAAAAGAAAGCATATCCTGGGAATGCTGTAATTATTTTATTTTCTTAAATTTACAGTGAAACTATAGTTGTCCAAGTTTCTATAGTTGTTCTGTGTGTGCCTATCTGGTAATACGACAAATATCTATGCGTATTTAAGTTTGTACCACACTCGTGATAGAATATCCTTTGTTAATAATTTGAGCACTTCAGTTACTCACTGCTTCAGTTTCTGTTAATTCCTGAGGAAATGAAGGCACAAACACTTTGTCTTTAACAAAACCCCCATAGGAAAAATCAAAAAAGAGGTTAGTTCTGCAGATCTCAGTGGCCAACAAAGCAATGACGTATCGTTTAACCCACCACCGTCAACCCAGCAATGGGATAGACTTATCGTTCAGGCACTGGTGTACGTTTTTATGCCAATTTGATGTAACACCATCTTGCTGCAGAATGAAGACGAGAACTGCTTCCTCCAACTGAGAGAACAACTACTGTGATAGCATATCTTGGTAAATGCACCCCTTAATTGATTTTTCCATGAAGAAAAAGGACCGAACACACAACTGTTGAAAATGGCGCAGGAAACGTTCTCCTTTGGAAAATTACATTCATGATACATTACACCATGTGGATTTTTCTTGTCCCCAAGTCGTAAATTATGGCAGTTAGCCTTTCCAGACACACAAAAGTGGCTTCATTCGTAAAAACAAGTCTGTTCTCGAAACCATCTACCTCCAGCTTATCTTGCAAATTATCACAGAAAGCCTCATGCAACAGTTTGTCGGAAGGTTTTAACGCATACATAATCTGAAAGGAGTGTGGCCAGAATTGTAGACGTTTCCGTAACACACGCCACATAGTTACATGAGGCACATTGATTTCAGAACTCGCACGAGGCGTTTATTTTTTGGGATTTCATAAAAATGTTTCACGAAATTTTTCAACCACCTCGGTTTTGGCTGCTGTTTGTCTTGGGCTGATTTTCTTACATAAGTAGCCTGTGTCCTGAAACTGCATCACCACCGTTCGATGTTTTCACGATGCGGTGGTTTTTTACAAATTTTGCTCGAAAATGTCTTTGAACAATGATAAACGATTTACCAGATAAAACTTGTATAACTGTAGTTTCAGAAGTTTCGTCTTAATA